TATCACAACGTCTCGTGATCCATAAGTTTTATCAAGCAAGTTAAGTGCCGTCGGCGGTTGACCCCTAATATATAATATATATATATATATATATATATATATAATTGAAATGGATTTAACAATTAAGTTTGTTTATGATTGGCTCGTTAACTTAACATGACGTAATCAAGACTAAAACTCAAAATTTAACGTTAAGAGGAGTAGAAGTTTGGGGTGGGTGGGGGTGGCGATACAAAAGCTTGTAATTTTAACAATTTATTTATAGGCCCACAACTAGTTCTCACACAAAATACGACTTCAGCCATACAAAATGTTAAGGCTCTGTACATATGATGATGAAGGAAGTCCATTATATGCTGGTGGAAAGCTTTAAATCCGGTCATAAAAAAAATGATTTCAGTTCTCCCTGATGTTACCATTGTTTCTGTTGTTTGCTTTAGTTATTTCAGTTTAGGATATTTTATCATTATTATGTTTGTGTCTAAATATGGTTAGAACTTTTATTTATCATTAAAAACCTCACCGAATTTTCACAGAGTATTGGTTACATTGACCCAAAATAATTAACATTTTTGAGGAGTAAGAGAATGTAGTAGACTTTTATAACTTCAAAAAGTCATTTTATGCAAAGTTGTAGACCATTATTGGTGAAGTTATTATGGGTTACAATGGCAAAAAATTGATGTAAAATTTTTTTTAAAAATCCAGTTATATACATCGTTTTCAATAGCCCTACAAAAGAAGGTGGTGCTTGGTGGCCCAGAGGTCTAAACTGAGAAACTTCAAATTTGTGGACTAGAGTTCCCAGCAAAAGCCTAGACCAGCAAAAACAACACCAGCACCCATGGGCGCCCGCAGGTAGGGGCAAGGTGCGGCACTTGCCCCCCCCCACCCCTGGATTGATTGGATAACATTTTTTTAGACAAAAATAGACAAAAAATGTATTAAAGTAAAGAGAAAATAAAGAGAAACTAACTAAGCTGATGTCCTGTGCGTTCGTTCACCATACAAATACGCTACAGTAAATTAAAACTATATTAAAACATTACTAAAAATTTTTTTGCCCCCCCCCTGGAAAGTTAATCGATTTTTTGCCCCCCCCCTAGAAAGTTTTCTGCGGGCGCCCATGCCAGCACCCCGGGTGGATGGCACTCGATTGGCAACTCATCTAAGAGACGGTGAACTCTGAAATCAAACCCGTAGGCCGTATGACATTGAAACAATGGGGGACGCATAAAGAGCACAGTGAAAACAAAAAAAAATCAATACTGCTGGTCATCCACTGCATCCCCTGGTCTTTTCCCAGTCGTCTTGACTTAGTCCTCCCATATCATCAAATAGACAATCAGGGTCTGGAACAAGCTTCCAAAAGGAACAGTTGAGGCGACAACCCTTGTCACATTCGTGCCTATTGCCTCAGGCCTTCCAACCCCCATTTCCTGATCTGATACCCTCGCTGTGTAGCCCTTGACAGTGAAATATCCTCTCCAATACCAGGCAAAAAAATATTGTGAATCCCCTCTACATACATAGGAGCCAAAATGGCATTGATCGAGGGCCCTAGCCTTAATATATATAGAGAAAGAAGACAAGGACGAGAGAGTGAGGTTGACGAATTGAGCAACTCTCCCACTCAACAACATACAGCTCGAGTCAAGGCTCCTAGCCAAGTGGAATCCTGGTCATCGCATGCGAATGACGAACAATACAGTACGGTTTATGCCTATTCCTAAGTAAAAAAAAATAAATCACATCACTAATGTCATGTCATCATTAGAAAAGAAAAGACACAACTACAAGCTCATCGTTAATTCGCTCAAAGGTTATTTTAAAAAAAAAAGAGATTACAAGAACCCGGTCATGTTTAATATTATATAATATTTAATATTATATGGAATTATTTCATCCCGGGATGAGAGTAAAATTTGTCACGTTTTACAGGGATATGCAAAACTCAAGAAAATGACGAACTCTGTTCCTGTGATGAAATGAGAACTCTCTTATTTGCAATTACATTACGTACGTTGTAGGTCATCTTATATCCGGGATATGGCGGACCATTGCTAGGAATAGGATAACTGACCTGCTAAGAATAAATATTAAACCTTTTCATTCTCGGGATGGGTGTACAGTGAGTCATTAAACATGTGACGATGCGAATTGAAGAAATATTTTAAAAATATTTTACCTAACAAGTTAAAAAAAAAACACTTTTATTTTGAGGCATGTATAGGCGGCATAAGTATAGTATAATTAGTATAAGCTTCATTCATAAGTCAAAAGTACAAAAGCCAAGCATATTTTAATAATTTTATAGCATAGTTTAAAATTTTTAAAAATAGTTTTAGTATTCATTAGTGTAAAGTATAGTTATAGTCTATACTATAAATAAATAAACTATAACTATAAAGGTTGTGAATCATTAAAATATACTTTGGTAATAATATTGATTTTGAACTAGGACTAGGGCTAGAACTAGAATCTAGAACTATATTTGATTTGGTAACCTATGATTTTAATATTATAATTTATATAATATTATACTATAATTTATGGTAATCTACCACTTCAGCGTGGGCATGAAAACATCTTTTTATTCTGGTTTAAAGTGTTGTTTAAACGGTTATTCTACTTTTATAGACATAATAATAGAATCTACCAACGCCAACACTCTGTGACTCTGTTGTTATTCATCAACAAATTTTGTCAGTCTAAATGACACTGATGTCAACAAAGAGGCTATTGCAAATTTATGGATGCAAGCAAAGCTCAAACAGAAAAGACAGAATGGCACAAGCCATGATCTGTTCCCTTCATATTTCAATTATTTGCATGGGCATGGGCATGAGTTATTTCCCACAACAGTTTTTGTGGAGATAATAATAATAATAATATAAAATCAAACTCTGTTTTCTTTTCATTTTCATACATGACAATGACATTAAATTGTTTAAATTTTCTATTTGAAAAAATTATTAAATTATTTAAATTGTTTAAATTTTTTATTTTAAAAATTTTATTTTAAAAAAAAATGATATATGACATATGTGCTGAAATGAATGTGTAGGCTACACGCTACAATGTCATAAAACATTTTCATTTATTTGGATCAATAAAAGACATTTTTCTTATCAATAAAACAAAAATCTATTAAAATAGCACTTCAAACCGGAACAAATTAATTTTTTCATAGCTGATGCTCAAGTTGTAGATCACCACTATAACTACTACTACTAGTAGGGATAACAATACTTGTCCACGCACCGTTCCGCGCATGTCCTAAAATGTCGAAAAAACGTGTTCTGCAATATGGCGTACAACTACACGGTATCATTGGAAAATTGCAGACTACGTCACCTTTGTTTATTAAATAATTGCTTTCCTCATCACTGACGTATCAGTTTTTGTGTTCCGGTCATATATTGATTTATGCTACAATATTTTTTTTGCATCACGGGCAGTATTATTATAATGACTCAGTTATTATATAAATCGTATAAATACCTTTTTACTAGTAAAGCCACCAAAATAAGGTTTAGTGCTCCCTAATCTACATTCATTGTAAGAGTTTTTTCATTTTTTGAGTTATTATTGTTGAGCTCTCGATAAAAAGTTATGCAACCCCCGAAGAAGTGGGGGGGTATGAAATTATCATTATTTTTTTACTTTGATCGAGAAGGCGGCAATGGCTGCTATCACTGTTACTACTAGGCCTAGAACTGAGTAGGCTTAGTAATCCTAATCTAATTCAAACTAATTGCCTGATTATTAATAACACAGTTTTTAGTTTTCTAATGTCAACTAATAAAAAAATAATAATAGTAATTTATTTAGAATTCCTCTTATTATTGTTATTATAATTATAATGTTAGTTTTAGCCCAGTTTTAGTTAAAAGTTAAATTCTATATTAAGTTAGTTTAGAGTTTAGTTAGTTAAATTTAGGTAGTAGTATAAGTATAACTACTATAAGTTCTAATCCAAGTTAGTAGCATACTCTTATAAGAAGATTTAACTGAAGTTAATAGTACAGTACTAGTTAGTAGTGTATGCCTAAGTTTCAAACTCAATCAAATCAACATCTGACTATTAACTGACCAATAATCCCAGCAAAGACTAACTATTAAAATAGTTTATAAAGTTATAATAAATGTAAAGAGTCACTCACTAGGTAATAAAGGGTCCTTTCCTAATATTGTTGATACAAATTTTCATGTGTCACAGCACTCATGTATTTAAACTCTCACTCATATTTAATGCTTGATGAACCTACCCTAGATTTGAAAGACAAGCATACCCACTACTGTTATACATTTGTTAAATCAACGCACCTTTTGCATTGTATATTTCAAACTTGCTTCAGAATACATTGTCACACTCTAATCTCGTGTATGGGGGCGTGCACTACATTAACATTTAAGTTTGCTAGTATTTGTGTGTAAGGAATTCAACACATTGATAGCCCAGTTTGAAAATTTTGCAAACAATTTTAAAATGTATACATTTAGATAGATTTATTAGTCTCATGAACTTTAATTCATCATCAGGAGCAATGTAGATGACAGGAATGTGCCAAGTGTGGCTAATGTTCTTCACATTTCAAGTTGCCCCAAAGGCCTTCAACCCAGGAATTGTGGAAAGCTAATCTCATGAACACCTACATCTCCTCCGCTTTTTAATTACAACTGTGAGGACTGACCCCTGTAGCTGAATGGAAAAATAAAACCACCTTCACCCCTGAGGCAAATTTGTTTTTATGGCTGGCCTCCTTGCAGTCACTTGAAGGGATTACAGTTTATTGACATTGATTGACTACCCAGTGATAAACAATCTCCGTAGTTACAGCCACCGACAGCTGACACTAGCAGAGGTCTCCTAGAGCACCCCCTTACTTCCCTCCATCACCCCTTTACTTTACAGGTCTTGAATATTTAAAACTTAATTTTCAAGTTTTTGCCCCCACACACCCCCCCCCCCCCCCACCCCCCCTCCCCCCCCCCAGGTCCCTACCCCCCTTCCCTACACAGCTCCTATTTTTATACCAGCATCCCCGCCATGGGGACATCAACTGAATTAAAAAGGGGAGTGGGAATAATAAAGGGGGATAAAACCATCTCTTGGATGTATGTCCCTGAGACTGTGCGCCAGGAGCTCATTATCAAGTTGAACCCCGACAGTATAATATCGGGCAATGACTGGAGGATGCTAGCTTTCAATCTGGGATTTACTCAAGCTGTCATTTCAGTAAGTTGGTGGCATCAGAATTAAGTATATTTTAGTTTGAAGCAGCTTGTCTCTCAACAAAAATGTGTTCCATTTCTGTTAGGAGGTGACATCGAAATTAAATTGATTCAGCTTAATAAGCAGCTTGTGTCCCATTTCAATTAGCTGGTAGTGGTATCAACATCAGATTGATTCTGTTAATTTAGCAGCTTGTGTCAAGCAAAAAATAGAAATTAAAACACATATAAATAGATACGTTTTTTTTCGGTAACTTAAAACCCATTGGATTCCAATTTTTCATTCATACAGGAGCAGTGTATATTATAAGTATTTAACTATTATAAATCCTAAAGAATAAATCAAAATAAAATTTAAAATTTTTTTTCCAGCATGTGCCAGTTGTCTAACCGAAAAATGGATTAACTGTTGTACTGTTTGCTGTTTCAGTTCATAGAGTCTGAAAAAGATACGAACACAAGCTGTCTGTTTAAGATGTACGATCAAAGGCCGGATGCTTCTCTCAATGAAATTTACAAGTTTTTGGAGGAGATGGAGAGGACAGATTGCTTAGAGATTATCGACAGGGCGTACCCAGGTGAGGTTCATTTGGGGGCCGTCCCACATGGAAATGATATCCAAATGAAATTAAATATGCATGCCTCCAGGATGTGATGCAAATAAAAGTTGTAGGTTTTCAACTTTGGATGAACTCTGCATAAAGATGAATATATTTTCACTGTTCAGTACATCAGTTCTTAGTCATTTTATCAAAGGTCATGAATAAGGGATTTGGCAGACAGCTGTGGAGAGCGGTTACCGGAAATGAGTATGAAACCAATCTTTTTCTAAACCAATTTTTACAAAGAAATGTTGGAATGGAGGTTAGTTTGAACTGAAGTATTTTTCAAAATGAGATTTTTTAAAAAGCGAATAAAAAAAATCATTAAAAAATATTTTTTAAAGGGAAAGCGAGTGGGAGAAATTTGTAAAATGTTAACTTTTTAATAATATATATATATATATATATATATTGTCCGCCCCCCCTCCCTCATTATTTCCATTTGAACAATGGTGGGGAACTACATTGATATGTTTTCTTTTAGAGAACTCGTCTTGTAATAATAATTTAAAAATGTGAAGTTAAATATTTTTTTCAAAGCTTATGCATCAGTTTAACAGGAATTATTTCTATCTAGCCTTGTCTTCTAAGTTGGACTGCTTGTTTTAAATCTAAAAGCGTAAAAAATGTAACCAAACAGGTTAGTCTCCTTTTAACATCGAATCCTAAGCTTTGGGAAAAATTTATCTTTGCACAGAAATCTACAAAAAGGCCACTGAGCAAAGTAATCAAGGCGCCATGTTTAGCCTAGAGAGTTCCGATCAGAGGCACCCTGGGCGATACCCATGGGCAACCACTGCCTGCAGCCACAGTAGTTACCCGTCCCTGTCCAGCCCGCCAGTCTGCATGAGCCACACCCATTGTACGTGTCACTTCCCCAGCTGTCCCGTCATGACTAGTCGTGGCCACCAAGCTGGAATGCCTCCATCTAATTACCATTATCAGACGCAGACAGTCCACCCCAACACAGGATGCAATGGCATGAAGCATTCTCCCATGCATGAGCAAGTTTGGTGAGTTTCAAACTGAAATAAAAATAAATGTATCCAGGGTAAATGATTTATTCAGCAGACTGCATAAATCGAAATAACTTTTAGGCATAACGTCTTTATAGACTCTCTATTTAGAGATATATTTATAGTAGAAGGCGTAGTGATGCATACATTTATACTGACTGCAAGTTTAGAAAAAAACTAACTAAATGATTTTAAATGTTTCAGCCCAATGTTTTGTTTGATTTCTGTTCTATCTAAAGCAATATAATTTATATACTTTCTTTCTACTTTTCTCTCAACAGCAATGGAAACTTCTCCCCCATGTCATCCCCACCCCATTCAGCAAAGTTTTGTTGTGGCTCCCCACACATGCAAATCATGAACAGTTCACCACCCGGTGTTTTACAATGTCCTCAAACTTTTTCTGATAATCAAGCTTATGGCCACAGTGGACGGTCGAATTTTAATTCTGGATATCATTCCGGTTAGTTTTTGATCAATGGTGTTCAGATCTGGTGCATGATCTATAAGTTCAACATTTCTATTTATCTAGGCCAGTGCTCGGCCCATTTTCTCTGTGATTATGCCCCAGCTATTGGAAAGCAGCAGTTTACAAAAATCAAGTCCTTTAAAAAAATCAAGTCCTTGTCCAGGGATGGTTTGAAGTTGAATAGAACCCATCTGGTTTTTAGAATGTTGTGTAGCTTTCATTACGTTAGCCCTGGTCACAACTCTCTGATGATGTGCCAGGTTAGCTGTCATTACATTAGCCCTGGTCACAACCCTCTGATCGTGTGCTAGTTAAGCTGTCATTACAACCGTCTGATGGTGTGCCAGTTTAGCTGTCATTACATTAGCCCTGGTCACAACCCTCTGATGGTGTGCCAGTTTAGCTGTTATTACATTAGCCCTGGTCACAACCCTGTGATGGTGTGCCAGTTTAGCTGTCATTACATTAGCCCTGGTCACAACCCTCTGATGGTGTGCCAGTTTAGCTGTCATTACATTAGCCCTGGTCACAACCCTCTGATGGTGTGCTAGTTTAGCTGTCATTACATTAGCCCTGGTCACAACTCTCTGATAGTGTGCTAGTTTAGCTGTCATTACAACCATCTGATGGTGTGCCAGTTTAGCTGTCATTACATTAGCCCTGGTCACAAACCTCTGATGGTGTGCTAGTTTAGCTGTCATTACAACCATCTGATGGTGTGCCAGTTTAGCTGTCATTAAATTAGCCCTGGTCACAACCCTCTGATTGTGTGCTAGTTTAGCTGTCATTACAACCATCTGATGGTGTGCCAGTTTAGCTGTCATTACATTAGCCCTGGTCACAAACCTCTGATGGTGTGCCAGTTTAGCTGTCATTACATTAGCCCTGGTCACAACCCTCTGATGGTGTGCCAGTTTAGCTGTCATTACATTAGCCCTGGTCACAACCCTCTGATGGTGTGCTAGTTTAGCTGTCATTACATTAGCCCTGGTCACAACCCTCTGATGGTGTGCTAGTTTAGCTGTCATTACATTAGCCCTGGTCACAACCCTCTGATGGTGTGCTAGTTTAGCTGTCATTACAACCACCTGATGGTGTGCCAGTTTAGCTGTCATTACAACCACCTGATGGTGTGCCAGTTTAGCTGTCATTACAACCACCTGATGGTGTGCCAGTTTAGCTGTCATTACAACCACCTGATGGTGTGCCAGTTTAGCTGTCATTACAACCACCTGATGGTGTGCCCTCAAAGCTCTTTGGTAGCTGCTGTTTGTTTTTATGTCAGATCCCCGAGGTGGTTCAGACAAGGATGTCTTGTGTTAAGTGCTCGGTGGTTCAGACGAGGATGTCATGTGTTAAGTGCTCGGTGGTTCAGACAAGGATGTAATGTGTTAAGTGCTCGGTGGTTCAGACGAGGATGTCATGTGTTAAGTGCTCGGTGGTTCAGGCAAGGATGTCATGTATTAAGTGCTCGGTGGTTTAGACAAGGATGTCATGTGTTAAGTGCTCGGTGGTGCAGACGAGGATGTCATGTGTTAAGTGCTCGGTGGTTCAGACAAGGATGTCATGTGTTAAGTGCTCGGTGGTTCAGACAAGGATGTCATGTGTTAAGTGCTCGGTGGTTTAGATGAGGATGTCATGTGTTAAGTGGTCGGTGGTTCAGACAAGGATGTCTTGTGTTAAGTGCTGGGTGGTTCAGACAAGGATGTCATGTGTTAAGTGCTCGGTGGTTTAGATGAGGATGTCTTGTGTTAAGTACTGGTTGCTTCAAGGGTTGGCCGCTTGAGATTGAATACATTCCCACTACCTCAGTCATCAGTGCTTGAGATTGAATACATTCCCACTACCTCAGCCATCAGTGCTTGAGATTGAATACATTCCCACTACCTCAGCCATCAGTGCTTGAGATTGAATACATTCCCACTACCTCAGTCATCAGTGCTTGAGATTGAATACATTCCCACTACCTCAGTCATCAGTGCTTGGATTGAATACATTCCCACTACCTCAGTCATCAGTGCTTGAGATTGAATACATTCCCACTACCTCAGTCATCAGTGCTTGAGATTGAATACATTCCCACTACCTCAGCCATCAGTGCTTGAGATTGAATACATTCCCACTACCTCAGCCATCAGTGCTTGAGATTGAATACATTCCCACTACCTCAGCCATCAGTGCTTGAGATTGAATACATTCCCACTACCTCAGTCATCAGTGCTTGAGATTGAATACATTCCCACTACCTCAGTCATCAGTGCTTGAGATTGAATACATTCCCACTATCTCAGCCATCAGTGCTTGAGATTGAATACATTCCCACTACCTCAGTCATCAGTGCTTGGATTGAATACATTCCCACTACCTCAGTCATCAGTGCTTGAGATTGAAAGTAATAAAAAGAGGAGGGAGCCAAGTACTATCTTCCTCCAGAATAGCAGGGCATTAACAAAACATCACCATAGCTAAGGTTTTAAACTGGAGCTGCTCACTTGAGGGTGTGGGGGGAGAAATGGCAGGGCATGAAGAAAATGTTTGTTACATGGGGTTTTAGGCTGGAGCTGCTAATGTCGTCGTGGGGGATGGGGGGTGGGTGGGGAACAGTTTTATTATGAATGTTGGTTGACTAATCACAGCTTATCTCCCATCACAGAGACAATGAACAGCATGTTGCCAGAAACAGATCTCTCCTGTAGTAGTCTGCTCCATTCAGTGAACAACAACAATGAAAACGGCACAGCAGCTATGGCGAAGTTTGCACACAGGACACAAGGTTTCTGAAGACAGTTATCTAGACCAGTGGTCCCCAAATGGCGGTCCGTGGACCTTCACCGGCCCGCATGCCTAACGCTGCCGGTCCCAATAACATAAATATTTATTGTCAAATAGAAATAAAAGTATAAAAATAAATCATGCACCGGTCCCTGGTAAAATTTCGAAACTTTTTCACCGGTCCGCCAAACTTGAAAGTTTGGGAACCACTGATCTAGACAATATATGCTTTGCAGTTTCCAAACTATAATTTTTCTCCATTTAAATGAGCAAATTATACTTTTCTACAGTGTACAAAAGGGCATTTTATAAATGAAGTCTTGTGTCGGGGGGACGGATGGGGAGGATTTCACCAGTTTGTGACCAGGTGTGATGTAAGACAAATTGACCCAAATAGTGTGAAGTCATTTATGGTTTGACCCCATACATTCCAAATAATGGGACCTTTGAACAGTTTGATGTGTATCCCTGAAATAGCTCTGCTATAAAAAAATATTTTTGACCAACATGAGAAAAAATTTTCTTTGAAATGTTGTAGTAATCACAATAAATATTTTAAAAAAAGACAATTTTTAGATAACAGTTAAAATTCCTCATATATACATATACACCACATTTCTTGTAAATATTCTTGACAAACATATGAATGGAAAATAAAATTATTAAAACTTCATTAAATAAATTTAAGAAAAGCGATGTCATTAATTTGAAACTGTTTATTCAGGGGAAAACAGAAAAGGTTGGGGGAGAGGGGGGGGGGGGAATCCTTTGAATTGTAAAAATATTGAAAAGAAAACAAACTTGCTGGTCCTGTTTGCTAGCTGAAGAGATATCATATTTTAAAAACACAGACCCTGGTGGACAACTGCTGATAGAAATTAAATTCTTGAAAATTAAAATTGTTAATGACACCCCTTATTATCCCCTTATTACCCCTTATTAACCCAACAGAAGAGGGATTTCAACGTTGTGTTTTTATTAAACTTTAAAAATCCTTGTTTTTTGTTTCAGTTCCACTGCCAAACAACATATGTGTTTCAGACAGCGGCATGGACGGCACGGTGGCGGGGCGACAAAAAATGGCGAGGCAATATTCGGATGAGTGCAACGAGTCCCAGGGTTTAGTTGGAGACAAAAGGCTGAAGCAGAGCAACGGATGTAGCATTGGTGATGCTGCGGACCATCAAGAGTTCCTGTCGCAGTCGTCTGATGACTCTGCAATGTCCAACCCTGGAAGTTTTGCCATGCACAAGCACCATGGGGTGTTTGCAGACCACAACAACAAACAGTTTGCCCACAAGGGTGTTCACATGCCGGGCACGTCTAAGCCCAGTGGTCAGGATGGTACGAGCCTGGTACATTTGAAGTCTATGGCTGAATTCCCAGACAAGTACAAACCAACTAATGAGTACAAACGTGTGGTCGCCGAGCAGAAGGTGAGAAACGCTTTGTATGCATTTAATTGAAGATTAATACTTCATAGGTTTATGTGAGCTCTTGGCTTCAGTTTAAAAAATTGAACGGCTTTCCCTCAAAATGTGGTCAACTGGTAGTGCCACCATTTACACATCTGATGCACATTAAGTGTGCCAACAAGTCCAGTCTCTGTCTTGGAACAACCCGGGACAAAATTTGAACCCACCAACCTTGGTGGAGAGGCTGTTCGACGTTACTGTCGAGCTGCAGGGTGTATAGAGAATGGATTGTTGTATTAATAATATTTTTTTTTTAGAAAGTTAGAAATTATTGTAACCACTCTCTTTTGATGATTTTCATCTTACTCATGCATCAGAATATGCTTCTTTATTTATATTTCAAGTGTCATTTCATTTATTTAATAATAATACAGTGGTCTTGTATAGCGCGGTACCACAGCTTAGGGCAGGGCTCACAGAGCTTCACATAAAAATTTGCAAAAATAAACATGACATTAAAAATTTCCTTAAATTTATTTATTTAAAAACAGCTTTATAAAAATATTCATCTTGCCTAATCCAGAACTCAACAGTTAGTCCAATCCCAGAGAGCCACTCTGTGGTCAACGAGTTAATTCAGTTAGTCCAATCCCAGAGAGCCACTCTGTGGTAAACGAGTTAATTCAGTTAGTCCAATCCCAGAGAGCCACTCTGTGGTCAACGAGTTGATTCAGTTAGTCCAATCCCAGAGAGCCACTCTGTGGTCAACGAGTTAATTCAGTTAGTCCAATCCCAGAGAGCCACTCTGTGGTCAACAAGTTGATTCAGTTAGTCCAATCCCAGAGAGCCACTCTGTGGTCAACGAGTCAATTCAATTAGTCCAATCCCAGAGAGCCACTCTGTGGTCAACGAGTCAATTCAATTAGTCCAATCCCAGAGAGCCACTCTGTGGTCAACAAATCATTTGTTCTAAGAGACTTTGATTAATCCAACAAAAACATTGAAATGTCTACAGATTGATACAGAGAAAAAGAAAAGAAGTGACAAGGACTCGCTGGATTCCCAGTCGTCCTCCAGCAGCAACGGTTCATCCGCGGGGAGACCTCGGCCATCGTCGACCTTTCCCCTGAGGGTCAAGGCCAAACACGAGCGACCGGTTGAGGAAATCACGGCATCCCTCACCATCTCTAAGAAATCTGCCTCGATGCCACAAAACATGAAACCCGTGGAGTACCGGAAAGGTTGGTTGAGACTGCTTCCTGCAGTTAACATCATGTCTGTTTATTTCTTGTGTCTTTTTGCTTGACATCATGTCTGTTAATATCATATATAACACATGTCTGTTTATTTCTTGTGTCTTTTTGCTTGACATCATGTCTGTTAATATCATATATGACATCATGGCTGTTTATATCATATATCACATCATGGCTGTTTAAAACATATATCACATCAAGTCTGCTTACATTTATATCACACGACTTTATATCACACCATGTCTATTTCAGAAGTGGTCATATTTTCTAGATCATGAAATGGAATAGATGTTTTCCCTGTAACGAAAATACGAAATATGTTTTATAAATGACCCAAGGATAAAAGTAGACATTTTAAAATCCTGGCCTTTATAAATATGAAAAATAAGATCATTGCCACTGAATGTGCTTCATGAATTTTACATATTATTATACCATGCAACTCTTAAAGTTGAATAAAAGAAAATATGAACCGGAAATTACAAAATAAGTATTTTTTTACTAATTATGTTGATGTTCAATACATATATTTTACTAAATAACTATTAATAATTATTTTTTTACAAGTCCAAAAATTGTATCTGTGACACATTTGACTTTCTTCCATGACCTTCATTCACAGCCTTCCGCAATACCAAAGTCTTTGTGACCTACAGCTACGATGATGAAAACCATGGGAAACAAGTTCTGTCCCTTTGTAAATTTCTCCAATCCAATGGCTTCGCTTGCTGTGTGGATGTTACTGAAAAACCCCCATCAAGTGGCCGGGAATGTGTCGAGTGGTGTAGAAAACGGATAACGGAGGTAACTGTCAATTTGTCTGCATCTCTATATTAGTACACACGGTACAAAACGCCGTCACATCTAAGGACACTGGTCATTTTGTAAGAGGTTTCATTCAGTCCTCCGACTGATGTCTAAGGCAGCTGCTAAGGTGCGCCTGTTCTGTCTATCGGCTGTTTCCGTGGGAGCTTCTGTATGGCATGTGTGTGTGTATCCTACCCGCAATGTCAATATATCCGAAGGTTCGGCCGATGGAGTTGATTAAAAGACACAGCCATGGATGTATCTGCCTCCGCAAAAACCATAGGATCACATTTTGCTCCGGGGATGGGGGGTGGGGGTGGGTGGGGTGTGGAGGTCATACTGATCTACCCATCTTAATGTGTAAGGTCTTATGTAAAGGAAGCTAGCCCTTTGGGAAGGGTACGTGAATAGGGGTTTTTTGGGGGGGGGGTGAGTTTCCGCTCAGGTCGCTGATGGCATTCCTTATGAACGATTTTCAGTAGGAATGTTAACAGGGGGCGCTGTGTATATATTTAACTTAGAATGTTAATCGGGGATGCTGTGGATGTATTCAAGTAGAAATGTTTACTGGGGATGCTGTGGATGTATTCAAGTAGAAATGTTTACTGGGGATGCTGTGGATGTATTCAAATTGGAATGTTTACAGGGGATGCTGTGGATGTATTCAAATCGGAATGTTTACTGGGGATGCTGTAGATGTATTCAAATTGGAATGTTTACTGGGGATGCTACGGATGTATTCAAATTGGAATGTTTACTGGCGATGCTGTGGATGTATTCAAATTGGAATGTTTACTGGGGATGCTACGGATGTATTCAAATTGGAATGTTTACTGGGGATGCTACGGATGTATTCAAATTGGAATGTTTACTGGGGATGCTGTGGATGTATTCAAATTGGAATGTTTACTGGGGATGCTGTGGATGTATTCAAATTGGAATGTTTACTGGGGATGCTATGGATGTATTCAAATTGGAATGTTTACTGGGGATGCTATGGATGTATTCAAATTGGAATGTTTACTGGGGATGCTGTGGATGTATTCAAATTGGAATGTTTACAGGGGATGCTGTGGATGTATTCAAATTGGAATGTTTACTGGGGATGCTACGGATGTATTCAAATTGGAATGTTTACTGGGGATGCTACGGATGTATTCAAATTGGAATGTTTACTGGGGATGCTACGGATGTATTCAAATTGGAATGTTTACTGGGGATGCTACGGATGTATTCAAATTGGAATGTTTACAGGGGATGCTACGGATGTATTAAAATTGGAATGTTTACTGGGGATGCTACGGATGTATTCAAATTGGAATGTTTACTGGGGATGATACGGATGTATTCAAATTGGAATGTTTAATGGGGATGCTACAGATGTATTCAAATTGGAATGTTTACTGGGGATGCTATGGATGTATTCAAATTGGAATGTTTACTGGCGATGCTGTGGATGTATTTAAATTGGAATGTTACTGGGGATGCCGTGGGTATATTCAAGTAGGAATTTAACGGCAAAACGTTGTGCTGAAACAATTTTTACTCATGGGCTCTTTTTCTTTTCTTCTTCAGCCTGCTTCAATATTCTTCTTTTTCTTTTTTTGCCTGTTCAACTCCCAGTGTAGCATAGGCCATTAACAATTTCTTTCCAAATCTTCCGGTTTTTAGCTATCTTCTCCTTTATCCAGTCTTTGTTACAACCTTGTCAGCATCTTAATTTTTTTGGGGGATTTTCCTGGTTCTCTTGATCCTTGAGGGTTTCCATGCCATCGCTTGTCTTGTTCATTTTTGACAGGAGTTTTCTGATGATATGACCCAACCAACACCACCTTCTCTTCTTGATTTTCTAGCTCCACTGCTTGTATATTATTTTTGTCTTTTAGTGAAATCTTTATTTATTTTTTTTTACAATCATTTAAGAAGCAAAGTGGACTTATCTTATTAAATAATACTGAATAACTAAAAGTTCACCTCACTGCGCTTATTTAATGTATTCATCTAATGGAAGTATACAATAAAAATATGCTGTAAACAAAATCCTTAGATCAGGGGTCTCAAACTCGCGGCCCGCAGGCCATTCGTGACCCGCTAGACGATATTTTACGGCGGGCTACCTGACAGCAAAGTTTAGAGTTAATGTGGCCGGCACATTTCCCCATTCTCATATCTATAATGTGACCCTCTGCGACGGTTTCAGTCGAATCTCTCCGACTAGTCTAATTCTGATTTTTATTCTGATTGTATAGGTTTGGACGTTGATTATAATGGTAAAAACCCTTCTTAATTCGGAAAAAAAGATTTTACTTTAGAACATTTTATGAGACAAAAATGGTCAATGTCGACAATGTGCGCTTGTGAGAAAAGACGTTTCGAATATTGTATATACATATATCAAAAGTTTTAAAAGTCATTCAGTGGGTAATACACAACCATAATTGTGTAAACTGTAGCAATTTGATGCAGTAGCAAAGAATCTCTAGTAAAATTGCCGCTAGTGTGTACATGAGTGAGGAAAATTCTGAGCCTGTCAGCTTGTTCACTTTCAAAATAGGTTTAGACTAGTCATAAAGGCCTTTTTTACGATACAAAAAAAATATATCGAAATTCATTCTGCCTACAATAGCATCTTCCTTTGTATCACTAATTCATAAATATTGCCTGCTCCTATCTTCTGTTTGAACATGTTTTAGTTTTGAAATCGCTAGTGGGAATTGCAATATTTTGTTTTTATTTTTTTATTTTTTTCGTCTTTGTTTACCAGAAACTCATGATTTTCATACCATTCATTAGCTGAATACTTTTACTTTAGATCACTGTGAATTTTTTTCCTTACCAAGGATATAATGCCATTAACAATGATAGGCAATGTGACGGCCGGGTCTGCTTGTGGAGTTTAGGGGTGACGCGATGCTCATCATTTGAGTTTTAATGTCTTGTTGGCCTAATTTTGTAATCGCTTAATGCGGCCCAGTCTCACTCAGACTCTACCTCCTGCGGCCCCCGGATAATTTGAGTGTGAGACCGCTGGCTTAGATGCAATGTCTTCCAAACTTTTGCATCACTGCCAGTGGCACAAGGGGTGTGCCCGTCAGTGTTTGGAGACCACTGATATAGAGTTTTTCTTGCAGTACAATGCCTAACATTTTTATTTTTTTTCTCCTTTTTCTAATGATCTAATTTAAGATCCATTTTTCTTGCCTGACTAATTCCGGTTGTATTTTTAAAATATATTATGATAAAATATGTCCCAATGAATTAATAACGGTTGTATTTTTAAAATATAATATTACGATAATATATGTCTCAATCAATTAATTCCAGTTGTATTTTTTAAATATAATATGATAAAATATGTCTCAAGCAATTAATATTAAGTGACATTTGAATTTTCAGGCTGATTTCATACTGGTGTGTGTCTCCCCCAAATACATACAAGACATTTCAAACAAAGTTCCACCAAAAGTCACTCAGGGTAATGGTCGCCACCTTCATGCATGGGAGATTTTTGACTTCATGAAGAATGAGTACTTTGACAACCTTCGGCACTGCGCGGCCACCAATGGTCAGGGCGTCCAGCCTTCCCGGCTCGTTCCCCTGCTGTTTGGTGGCATGCAGGCCGATGCCCTGCCCCAGTGGATGACCAGGAACAGACCTTCCTACATCTGGCCCAAGGAGTACCTGGATCTGGCCTGGATGCTAACGAACCCCCAGGAGAGAATAAAATCAAGGCGGCAGGGTGCGGAGGAAGGCGCTGAGAACCAACACGCGTGTCCCGTTAATGTCATGTCACAGGGCCGGGACAATTTCTACAAAGACAAAACGCTGTGCTGTTCTTAACAAAGGTTTGTTTATGTTCGACAAGGTGACAGAGAGAATGATAGCTGTCAACAAATGACTTGGCTGATATGTTCTTCATCTGAGTTCCACGAAAAATTTTGAGAGAAATCAGTGTCACAATGAGTGGAGACAGAGTATACAGTGCATGTCATTTTGAAAAGCTGACAGACTGGTGAAAAAATAGATTTGGTAGATGTCATTCGTTGTATCATCAATTACAATGATTGTGTGTGTCTTAGGATTTGATCAATTTCAATCTTGTTGAAACTGGATTGATAGATTACAATCTTTGTACCATCACATAAACTGTATCATAGACTCTTATACAATATATTTACAATTATAAATTTTTTTTTAACTCCCTTTTTTTGTTCAACTTCAACTGATTTTAAAATGTTTTTTTTTGTATGTGGTCATTTCCTGTTTTGATGATGTTGATATGTACAGTAAATAATTTATATATACTGTAGAATTGCCTGGCCAGTGATATGAGAGCTGTAGCTCAGAGCTTATCTTATTTGTGTTCTTATTCATCCTCTTTATTTAAACGCTTCATGGGGAACTTTTGAAATAAATGACATTGTACGTTAGACAGAATGCAGTTATCAATCAACTGTAGATTTTGAATTGTATGTCTGAAGAGGCCACATGCAAAAGCTGCTAACTGCTAAGTAACTTCAGCTTGATTTTGAGAACAAAGTTTTGTTTGTTTTGTTAATGAACATTCCATTATGTAGCAAACGTGTCATTCAGATTTTTGTCAACCAACATTATATGATGTCACGAGCATAGAATTCATATTTTTGATCAGTAAACATATAGAATTAAACAAAGGTTATGATTCACTCAATTAAACAAAATATTTTAGATTGGCACTTAACAAATATTATTTTTATGATGTTTTTAAAAAAAAAAAAAAGAGCTCTTTACACCAATATTTGGATTGTATAAAAATAAAAATATTTTGAAGCATGACTTGTGCCAGATGATATTGGCTGTAGAACTTGACCTGTCCATGACATGACATTGAAAATGTTTTTCTTTGTGATACCAGTATTTTGTTTGCTTGCTCGGCTTATAAAAAAATAAAAATAATATATGCTTACTTTTAAAAGATCATATACATATCTATTTGATACATACATTTGATTTGTCTGATTTCTTGGTACCACATCTGTTATCTATGTTTCTGTTTCTAGTTTTTATTACGTAGGCGGCAAATTGATTGACAGAAGTTTGGTTGAATCGAAATTTGATCGAATTTTATTTTAAGTTCACAAGATCAAATTTTGCGTCAAATTTCTTTTTGAACTCAATATTTTGTTTTACTATACAATATAGTATAGTGCGTTCAAGAAATTTGACGAAAATGTGATCGTGTGAACTGAAAAAAAAATTAGACCAAACTTCCATTCGATTAATTTTCCATAGACAAAATTGTTTTCAAACAAATTTCCGGTAACTGTTTTTATGACCAATCTTTTTTAGATGCAAACAATTAGTGCAACTAAAACAATATACGTTCAGCTTGAATAACCAGCATACAGAATACAAATGTAAACATTTTGGCAAATGCCTTCATCAGTACAAAAAAAAAAAAAAATTCCTGTAAGTATAAATAAAATTTACAAAAAAAAAAAAAATGGTAACTGTTTTTATGACCAATCTTTTTTAGATGCAAACAATTAGTGCAACTAAAACAATATACGTTCAGCTTGAATAACCAGCAAACAGAATAAAAATGTAAACATTTTGGCAAATGCCTTCATCAGTACAAAAAAAAAAAAAAATTCCTGTAAGTATAAATTAAATTTACATAACATATATAAATACATGTATCCTACCTAATAATGAGAGGAAAGAATGAGAGTGGGCTCAAGTCCCTGAAAACATTCAAGTGTCTGGTTTCAATGAATCCTATTTATTTGGTAAATCAAGTGTATGGTTTGCATGTACCATAATTATATGGTACATTCAACCAAAGTGTCAGATTTTTTTCAATTCAATCAGTAATTCAACTCGAAATAACCTCTATTCACATTGTCTGTTATTTCATGCTTTATGTTTGATGAGTTATCACCAACGCTGTTGACTAGTCAACTGAATTGTTTCTTTGTTATTGGTTTCATTTTTGTTATGCTTGTGTAAATTTAGCAGATGTGCAAAGAGGGGAGGGGATACTGATCTATTAAATTTTGAGAAGGATTGTTGAAAAAAAAAAAATTAATCATATGAGCATGTTATTAGTAAAATTATCGCCTCCATATCAAACAAGTATTTCTGCCCAGCCATGTGTGGGGCATTTTTCTCCCTGTGTAATTTTGGGGGGCAGGCAGTTATTTATGTTTAATATTGATTTGACAGGAAATATCTCCTTCATTTATGAAGTCTTAAGAATATACCCTCATAAACTTGTGTATATCTAATTAATGATATTTTCAGGCAAACACCCAAAGACAAATCGGCTACAGGCATAAGTAGTTTCCATGATTTTAGAAAAAGAAAAAAAAATGAGAACTCTGTTTAAAAAAAAAAGCCCTGTTCAAAATTACAACTGACACTCAGTAACTCAACAGTTAATTATTCAACAAATTATTTGCTACCGACAAATTTTAAGGAGCAAGGAAAAACTCAAACAAAGATTTTCAAGAGTGAAAAAAATATGTCAGACGAATGGAAAAAAAAAAAGATATTTGAATTTATTTGGATCAATAAAATATAAATATAGACACACATACATACAATTAATATACAGTGGAAATCATTTAAACTGAAACAACTTGGGGGGCGGGGTGGGGGTGTTATTATTAACTGTTGAAAAAATTTTGTATTCAGGAAGTCAAGAGCCACCACCACATAAAAGTGACAAAAGTTTGTTTTTAATTTCTATCTTGATATCAGAAATGGAGATGTTAAACAACGTAACAGTTAATAAAACTACACACATGGCATTTCAAGAATGTAATTGATTATCACTTACCATGAACTTACACTATGTTTATTCAAATTTATTGTTAAAAAAAAATTCGACATGTGAAAAAAAAAAAATAATAATGTGAAGTACCGTAATAAAATATTTTTTTTGTCCATGTGATTTCATATTTTATTGTAGAATTCTTGTTCAATATGGTTGAGCATTTAGTCTGTTGCAGCACTGGTGATGTCAATGTCTTGCCAACGGCAGGTAGTTCCATTTGTTTAAAATGGTCATAGTGTATCAACAGGCTATGATCGATAGTGAGTTGCTGGCCTTAGTCAATAGAAAGTCATTCAAAAGAGGGAGATTTGGGATTGATCAAGGGGACATTTTTTTATTGTGGGCGGGGGTATTTTAAAAAATTTTAAGTTTTAAGTGATTTTAAAAAAAAAAATATTTTTGACTTAAAATGTATGAAAAAAAAATCATGTTGCTTTTTTGGGGCCAGAATGGTTTCAAAGTTTACCAACTTTTCAAAATATTAAACACTTTTCACTGTGTATCTGAGTGGCATTAACTTTAAAAAATAAATCACTCTCCCTAGTGTCATTCTTCACAACCTGTTGATTAGATTAGAAGTGAATCACTTCCCTGAGAGCCCACAAACTGACCTTTCGACCAGACTCTTGTCATTAGTACTTCTCAAATAAATGTAACTATTGTATGCTCTCATCATTCATATAATTTTTAACAGTTTTTGAAGATCAAAAACAAAATGTATTTAATTAGGACATTTATTGTTCGTATTGGTTTCAATGAAGCGACAGTGGTCAACATGGCCATTAGTTTATGCAACATTCCAGAAAACCTGTTATTCTGTCAAAGATTTTTGTTCCTAATTGGAGTTGTGTTTAATTGTGTGGAAGTACCAAGTATCTGTAATCAATGTTTGATTCATATAATATGCCTGGTCAGGTCTGTCTTTACTGACAAATAACTCAAGCCATTTGCCTTATGATATGATCTGATGTTTGACCTAAAAGCACTGAATCATAAAATTTCAATTAAAACAAAAAGTGCCACAAAGGATTATACTTGCTCAGACTTGCTGCACCAATGCTCTAAATTTTGCTGTGAGTTATTTTCCTTGTCATTCTGTCTGTTTTGAGAGGCATAGCAGGTGTACCAATTTAAGTACCGGTAATGTAAATAACCAATTTAAAAAAAAAAATCTGTATTATCAGATAAAGATTTATAGATAATTTATCATAATTATATTCTATAATTAGGCAGCTCTCATAGTCTCTTCTTCCAATGCGATTCACAGTTGCACGTATTTTCAAAAGTATAAAATGTAATTTTGAGAAACAACCGACATCAGACAGTTTGAGTTTAGTTTGTGAATCACAATGTACCACCAGACTAAGTTTTGCATCAAAGCTCTGTGTGTGACTGGAACCTAGAAAAATACGGCCTCAAAGAAGTCCAAACATGACAGACAAACAAATGTGTGTGCCGAGGAGCACAGGGTAGAAGTGACAGTAACATAAAAATAACATCTACTGCCTAACTGGTTCCATCCAGTTTGAAATACATTTTATGTTTAGATGCATAATCTGATGTGGAGTCAAAGCCCATGTAGTTGATTCGACACCTGGGTATGTGAAACTGCTGTAGGTAGACAAGGCAGAAATGTTTAGTTTGTTTAGCGTAAAGTTGTATTCGTAAAGTTGTATTCATACCTCCGCAGACACGTGTATTCTTTCTTTTCCCAGAACACACACACACATGGTGAACGATCTTCGTTTTTCAAAACAATGGAATTCTCTCCCATTATATATCACAGCCTTCAAAACTGCCCTCAAGACCCATCTCTTCAAACTATATTATACCGACTCATTCTCAACCCCCCCCCCCTCCTCTCTGACTGCAATGCTCAATTCTGCTGGATGCTGTCCATGGCTAGACAAGGGTAGATAGTACATGGGTGGGTGAGATCAAGCTTTTTACCAATTGTTTTTAAATGTATAAGTTTCTTTAATTGCTAATTTTTATGTGAAGCACAGTGAGCCTAGCCCTAGGCTGGGGTACTGCGCTATAGAAAACAACCTAATAATAATATTTATTATTATTTTATGATGATGCTAACAACAGTGTGCAGAAACAGAAGTTGCATGGGGCCCAGCTTTTGGATTTTGTCATGTGATATGTGAATGGCAAGCGATGCCCTTATTAAGTTGATAAATACAGAACTTTATCTGCTGAATTTGGCGCCTGATGCTGAAATTGATGCCAAATAATATTGCAAACAAAACTACATGCATCAATAAAACCACTTGCAGCTATTCAATTTAATTCATTGGTTAATTGAAATAACCAATGTTTTTTAATATGGTAGCGTAGCCTGCGGCATTATTAATGAACATGGAACAGACTTTTAGGGCACTGACAGTGATAGCCTGCAGCATTAATGAACATGGAACAGAGTTTTAGGGCATTGACACTTCTAGTTTGCATCCTGCCCACTGGAAGTTTATTAAGTTTAAAATGTACGGTATTTATTTTTGTTTTACTGCTGAAGTATTATTATGACAGGCAAGATTTTAATTTTAAAAAATCATTCTTTAAAACAAAACAATAATACAAGTGAAAGAATATAAACTATTTATTTACAGACAATAAATCCAAGTAAAGGGGACATAACTATGTCCACACATGAACAGAAGAAAAACTGTTGCCAAGAATTTTGATCAAATTAATTAAACACTGCACATAAAAAAATAGTGGTGTGAGCAAACAGTAACGTAACAATGGTTAAAGCAACATTTCCATCGATAGGAGCCGATTGTTAATGGATTTAAAAAAGACAACCCTGATACCAAGTTCAGATCACATTTAATTAAGTTCACCTTAATTTGAACTCCTATTTTCAAGTCACATTTTTCCAAACACTTTTATTTCAGGTATCACAGATCATCCTGATATCAAACGTCTGTCACAGATCATCCTGTTATCAAACGACTGTCACAGATCATCCTGTTATCAAACGTCTGTCACAGACCATTCTGTTATCAAACATCTGTCACAGATCATTCTGTTATCAAACGTCTGTCACAGATCATTCTGTTATCAACTGCCATCATTATTTTAAGTTTCTCTCCAACGATTTCAAGTCCAATTTTTTCTATTTTAAATCATCTCAGAAAGTACTTTTCGTTCTTTGAGTGCGTCACCATTTCCTTCGGTGATCCAACCACCGGTGTAGCTCGGTTTGGTGTCGCCTCGAGGTGGGCCAAG